AACTATTCGAATGTTATCAAAATGCTATACAAACTAATAAATAGGTGTTTTATGCCTGTGCCTGAATGCACTATCTAATAAAATTCTTATATTACAATTTATGTGTTGCAAAAAAGTTAACAACCATAAAAATGTTTTGTGAAAAGTGTCTCAAAGTTGTGATCAAACAATCAAAAATGTTTAGGATCAATCAATCAATCAATCAATCAACAAAGGCTAGATGATTTTTCGTAAAACTTTTAAGAGAAATTATGTATTATGTAGCATACCCAAACAAATATAGCCCTCAGTAGTATATCAAAAAAACCATAGGAAGACCACTATATCAAAAGTTACATTGATCACAAATTGTTCTAGGACCATCTCAGATGAAACAAACAAATTTAGATGAGTAAACCAAACCAAGCCTTATGCAAATAAAAATGTATACAATAAAATAATCAATTTCAAATTAGTTTAATAAAAATAAAAATAAAAATTAAAAAAGCCATTGCCTATTTTGAAGAGTGATTGTGGTCAGCCACCATGACAAAATAAGAAGTCACTTACACACAAATGAAAAAAATATATTCTTGAAGCCCCAAACACATTTCTTATGTGTGATGGCATTTTTTGGTGCCCAAAATATTATAGTGATTTCATGTGAACAATGATACTTTTTCCTAAGAAAGGTAATATATCTTGTATATAAGAATAGCACTATTACATTCTCTCTTCTTTTTTCATCTTGTCGCACTCAAATGCCTCACCAACTCACAGAAAATAATGCAGTGGAATGGAATACATTTATTGATCTTCCATAGTCATTCTATTTTGAGATATTTAGACAGCAAATTTTGTTTCATAAAGTCAAAAAGCCAACAAATAATTTCATAAAAATAGTACCACTTTGATTAACAAGTTAATAAAATAGTACCATTAATACTATTAATCAAACATGCCCTAAGTGTCCTTGAAGGAGAAAAGGAAAAAAAAAAATTTAATTTAACTCGTAATAAAATTAATAAAATTCAAACTAAGGCATTATTTGTTAATAAAATTAATTAACTCATAGTCAAACATGCCTTAATAAAATAGTACCATTAATACTATTAATTTAACTCCTAATAGATTAATTTTACAAACTAATAAAATTCAATTGTTATCAAAATGCTATACAAACTAATAAATTCAAATGTTATTAAAATGCTATACAAACTAATAAACAGGTGTTTTATGCAATAAATAAAACTCAAACTAAAGCCTTATTTGATTAACAGGTTAATAAAATAGTACCACTAATACTGCTAATCAAACATGTCCTAAGTGTCATTCAAGGAGAAAAGAAAAAAAAAACAAAGAATAATTTAATTCCTATCTATATTGGTTAAATTTGAAACATTAGATAAAAAGTAAAAAATTAATACAAAAAATAAACTCATTCAACACAAAAAACATGCCCTAAGAGGCAGAGGAATGTATGTTTATTTTCTTCTTTCAATTTTTCATTTTTTTTATTAAAAAAAAATGACCCTTTGTTTGGTTGCCTTGAAAGCAGAAACCCACTTCAATTTGTTAATTAATTGGCACATATTTTATTAGACATGACTTTCTTAGATGAAAATATCTTAGATTAAAAATTTATTTCAAATAAAATATTTTAATTGTAAATTAAAATAATTAAAAAATTAACCCACGCCCCCAAACCAACGTTATAATAACAAAATGATTTTCCCGGAGGAGAGAGCTCATTCTGCTCATCCACTCCAGCAACCTCATTGCATCTGGAGAGAGAGAGAGAGAGAGGGGGAGAGATTGAGAGGCGCATGAATAGTATTTGACTTTAGTGACTCGAACAGACACAAGTAAACGGAGTGAGAAGAAGGATGGATACATACAGATAAGGTACACACTGCACTACAGCCACACACTACTCTCTCTCTCTCTTTCTCTGCCAAGAAAGTAAAAGAAAGCGGCGCTCTCAGTAAGAAAGGACTCCGCTGCCTCTCTGCTCTTTGGTCTCTGTCTCTGTTGTTTTGATTGAGAATCCCTCCAATCTCTCCCACACCACATAGATGCATACATGATACATACTCTCTCTACACTAGGCTCTGTTTCATGCATTAATTATTTTTTTAAAATTTTTATGATACATACTCTATCTTTATGATACATACTCTCTCTACACTAGGCTCTGTTTCATTGATATGATATATTTTTAAAATTTTTATGATACATACTCTATCTTTATGATACATACTCTCTCTACACTAGGCTCTGTTTCATGCATTAATTATTTTTTTAAAATTTTTATGATACATACTCTATCTTTATGATACATACTCTCTCTACACTAGGCTCTGTTTCATGCATTAATTATTTTTTTAAAATTTTTATGATACATACTCTATCTTTATGATACATACTCTCTCTACACTAGGCTCTGTTTCATGCATTAATTATTTTTTTAAAATTTTTATGATACATACTCTATCTTTATGATACATACTCTCTCTACACTAGGCTCTGTTTCATGCATTAATTATTTTTTTAAAATTTTTATGATACATACTCTATCTTTATGATACATACTCTCTCTACACTAGGCTCTGTTTCATGCATTAATTATTTTTTTAAAATTTTTATGATACATACTCTATCTTTATGATACATACTCTCTCTACACTAGGCTCTGTTTCATGCATTAATTATTTTTTTAAAATTTTTATGATACATACTCTATCTTTATGATACATACTCTCTCTACACTAGGCTCTGTTTCATGCATTAATTATTTTTTTAAAATTTTTATGATACATACTCTATCTTTATGATACATACTCTCTCTACACTAGGCTCTGTTTCATGCATTAATTATTTTTTTAAAATTTTTATGATACATACTCTATCTTTATGATACATACTCTCTCTACACTAGGCTCTGTTTCATGCATTAATTATTTTTTTAAAATTTTTATGATACATACTCTATCTTTATGATACATACTCTCTCTACACTAGGCTCTGTTTCATTGATATGATAAATATTCTATCTTTTAAAATTTTTAATTTTATAACAAAATAATCTACTTTATTAATAAATTATTATATTAATTAATAATTTTTAATAATATCAAAATTTTATTTCAATTAATAATTTAAATAATTTTATTATTATACAGAAAAATAGTTAAAATTTTATTTTTTAATTAATTTTATTAAATAAAATATTATGATAAGGAAATATTTATAATTTTTTAAATCATAAGAAAAAAAAAATTAAAAAAATCATTTGGGTTAAGGTTAAAAAAATATTAATAAAAATAAAAAACACATGAAAAAACCATTTGTAAAAAAAAAAAATTAAAATAAATAAATTATTTAAAAAAAATACGCGTCATTCAAAAATATTTTAAAATATTTAACAAATTACAAAAACATAAATTCAAAAAAAAAATTAAAAAAATCATTTGGGTTAAGGTTAAAAAAATATTAATAAAAATAAAAAACACATGAAAAAACCATTTGTAAAAAAAAATAAATTAAAATACATAAATTATTTAAAAAAAATACGCGTCATTCAAAAATATTTTAAAATATTTAACAAATTACAAAAACATAAATTCAAAAAAAAAATTAAAAAAATCATTTGGGTTAAGGTTAAAAAAATATTAATAAAAATAAAAAACACATGAAAAAACCATTTGCAAAAAAAAAAAAAAAGAACTTAAAATACATAAATTATTAACAATAATTTATTAATTGAGTTTTATTTTACGTGTTTGTTTACGATTTGAGTGTAAAGTTGTTTTTAAATTTAAAATATTAACATTTTAAATTATTTTTATTTTTTGAATATTTAAATTATTTAAATTTTTACGATGTAAATTTTTTGAATATTTATTTTAAATTTTTTCCAAGGTAAATTTTTTAGAATATTTACATTATTTAAATATTTAAAATACAAAAAAAAATATAAATAAAATTAAAATAAAATTTTAATTAAGTTTTGTTTTATATATTTAGTTACGATTTGAGTATCGAGTTGTTTTTAAATTAAAAATATTAACATTTTAAATTATTTAAAGAACGTAAATTAAAGAACAAGAACTAATTAATGTATAAAAAAATATAAATGACAAAAACATAAATTTAAAAAAAATAAAAAAAAATTTAAGTAAAAAATAAATAAAAAAATATTTTACCAAACTACGCCAAAATAAAACCCAAAATAAACAAATAAAAAATAAAAAAATTTAAGCAGAATACCCAAATCGAAACCCCAAAAAAAAAGAAAAAAAGGTAGCAAAAAACGGCAAATCAAAACCGAAAATAAGAGGAAAAAAAAACAAATAATAAAAAAAAAACAACATTGGTGGACCGTTTGGGAAGCTGACGTGGATGCCAAAATCTTTGAATTACAGGTACATGTGGATCAAGGGCACTTTGGTAAATTAACAGGAGGCCACCTCACCAAAAAGTCAAAAAGCCAAAAAAGCTAAAAAGCCCTTCCCAAACCAGGCTTTTTAGCTCCAGACTAAAATAGCCAAAAAAGCCAAAAAGCCAAAAAGCCAACCCACTTCCCAAACGGAGGCTAAATCTCTTTAATTCATCATCAGCTTGTGTGGGGTCTTTTTATGCATAACCACGCTTCACAATTAGGGATGGCAATTTGAAACCAACCCGACGGGGATCCGATCCCCCGACCCCGAATTGAATGGTTTTTCCCCGAAAAATACCCTCGACGGGCCGGGGATGATATTTAAAAATAAATCCCCGATGATATTCGGGCCGGGGACGGGGATATATTTTCCAACCCCGGTATTTGAAAATAAATCCCCGATGATATTCGGGCCGGGGACGGGGATATGTTTTCCAACCCCGGCCCCGTTCAGCCCCCCGATCCAGTATGTATAAATATATGTGTGCGCTGTGTGTTTATATATATTATATATATACATACGTGTGTGTGGTGTGCGTGCGTGGGGTTTGGTGTGTGTGTGTGTGTGTGTGTTGGCAACAAACATGTAAACAACAGATCTGGCCCCTCTCTTTCACTCTCTCACTCTCTCACACGCTGCATCTCTCCCACACTGTCGGCTTCTTCTTACCGGCAGCTCCCTCACCGTCGGCTTCTTCGCTCCTTCTCATCGCCGACTCATCTCCCTCTCACGGTATCTCCGTCTTTCTCTCTCTCTCTCTCTTTCTCTCTCTCTCACGGATCTCCTCTCTCTTGTTTTTTGCTTTTGTTCTGCAGATCTGAAAAATGGTGGAGATGAAGATGAAGATCTGTTGATGTTGTTGTTGAGATCTGTTGATGTTATTGTTGTTGTTCAGATCTGAAGATGAAGATGGTTTCTGGAGCTCTGTGTGTGTGTGTGTTTTTTTTTTGGCCGGGGATTTTCGGGGTTGTGGAAACATGATCCCCGTTAGGGGACGGGGGTGAGGGCGGTAGTTGATTCCCCGTCGGGGATCGAGGCCGGGAACGGGGGGATTTCCACCATCGGGGATCGGGGACGGGGAGGGTTATCCCCGGCCCCGCCCCGCCCGTTGCCATTCCTATTCACAATGGACTCGTTTGGGAAGTTGACTATTTTAATAAGTTATTTTAATTTTTAGCTATTTTAGTAGGTTAAAATATTTATATTTAAGAAGAAAATTAATTTTTTTTTTTATAATTGAATGTGATGTTCATAAAAAAAAAAAAAGTAAAATGATGATAGATTTAATATGACATTTTATTTTATTAATTATTTTAAACTGTTTTATTATTTTATAAATTTTAACCCAAAAAAATCAAACCTTAGCTTCTCAAACACCCCCAATGTGTCCAGTTTTCTTATGCATAACTCATCATCAATGAGTCGGTTCTGGTTGGCCCACTCACTGCTCATTTCAGGACTCTCACGAATATATCAATAATGATAGATAATTTTAACTTTAAAATTTAAAAAAAACAGTTCTAATGATCACATCATATGTGGATCACAGATAAACGAGGTTTGACACTTAATTTTAATTTTTGTGAGTGGTGGTGATTGTGCTTTATACGTTTGTTGGGTTTGTGATGATTATAAGTTAGTTGATATTTTATTGGGTTTTTAACTTACCATTGATTTGTATTTATTTATGGTTTGAATAGTGTTGTTGGATACAAATTAAAATTGACTTCTTTAATTTCTTACAATTTGGTTGATGCAATGCAACAATGATATGGGTGGATAATGGTAATGATGTGAACTTCAAGAATGGGAGCTAACAAATGACAATATTTGATAATAGTGCATGGGGATTAAAATTGATGTATGATAAGATTTTAATTTTTTTTATATTTTTTGTTTTAATATTCTTGATATATTATTTTATTAGAATTATTACAATTTAGTATAAATATTTTAGAATTATTAGGTTTTTTTAATTTTATTATTTTAGAATTAGATAAGATTTTAAATAGTTTACAATTTTAGTTTATTATTTTCTTAGGTTTTCTAATTTGTGTTGATTTAAGTTTCATAATTTATTTTAAAATTAGTTTTTCTACAAGTATTAGGTTTAGTTTATTATAAATAACTATGTAAGCTTCATGGTAAAGATAACTTTTATCATTCAATCAATAATATTGAGATATTTTCTCTTCCTTGTAAATTCAATGTTATATTTTTCTCGTGAATTCGGGAGCTCATTTCGTCCACTAGAACGATATCTAGTTCTCGTGTATTTCGCTGCGTCAAGTGGTATCACAGCAAGGTTTCGCCTGGCTCGGTGGCATTCATCAAATGAGGAAGCACAAGTTCTATTGACGATGATCTTAGAGAAAGATCTAATAGGATTCGAGTCAAGGGACTTGCCCAAGGCCAACCTGTTAGTCACAACATTAATAGAAACCGCACTATGGGATTTGCCCAAGGCCAGCCTATTAATCACAATGTCTTAAGGCAATCTTCTCGTTATCAATATGATAGTGATGACGAATATGAAGATGAGTTATTCGAAGATTATGGTAAGTATCAGTCGGTAAAGCGACAACGAAGATTTAATGATGTGTTCAATACGAATAATAGCATCAATCATGGCTTTTCATATTATCAAGTACAACCAGAAATTCCCTATTTTGATGCTTCTTGTCATGTCGAAGATTTTATTTATTGGTTTCGCAAAGTTAACAAATTCCCTGAGTGTACGGAAATCTTTGAAGAAAAGTAAGCCAAATATGTTGCATGTAAGTTACAAAGTTATGTTTCTACGCGGTGGAAACAATTACAGTATGATTGAAGACGACAATACAAACAACGCACTAGGATGTGGCATAAGATGAAGAAGTCGATGAGTTCTAGATTCTTTCAATCAAATCATGAGAAAATATTGTATCAACAATATCAAAGAAAGCTTGAATCGAAACAGTTGTTCCAAGATAATTCTGATTCACAATATTCTTTGCAACTCAATAATTATTATGCAATTGTGGATACAGATTATTTGAGAAACGTGACTATAGCTCTGCCAAGTTTGGGTGAATCAAGTCTTGTAGGTCAACATATTTGTCACGTTCAACCACACATTAAAGAAGAAAAGATTTTGAGTATCTCAATATTTCGAAGAGACGACGACGGAGGAACACGATGGGGAGAACAACTGAGAGAGATGGTGGAGGGATGCGACGGCGAAGGATAGAGGATGGTTGAGGGACACGACGCGGCTCAACGGCAAGGCGAGATTGCGGCCATGATGAGGTCATTTCAAATTTTTCATGCTGTTATGTATATAGGTATATATGAAAAATCATATGTATTTCAGATTATATATATATATATATCATATATACGTATATATATTTCAGATTTCATATATATTTCATATATACGTCTATATGATTGCTGCTATATACAATCCAGATTTCATATATTTTTCTCTGCTATCTTCTGTTTGGTTGTTGGTAAGTTCTGGTTTATTTGTATGAATTTTGTATTCATGCCTTGTAGGTGTTTGTTGAAAGTTCTAAAAGAAATGACATTATTTTTTTTTTTGAACAGAAATGACATTATTGTTTGATTGCAGGACAACTAGTAAATTTTATTTGCTAAAGATACATATAATTTTCAGGTAGATGCTTCCCATTAGATATCATATCATCCATGTCTTTCTTAAGCTAGGCTATTCCTATGCTAGTTTGTTTAAATTAATAAGCAGCACTTGGTTTCTTTCCTTCCTCGGTACTTCCTAATGAGGACTTGTATATGAGGATTTATCATTTACATCTCACAGATAAATGAGGTCTGGCGCTTAGTTTTAATCTTTTTGGGTGGTGATGATTCTGCTTATACGTTTGTTGGGTTTGTGATTATTATGAGTTAGTTGATATTTTGTTGGGTTTCTAACTTACCATTGTTTTATATCTCTAGCTGGAATATCTATTTATGGCTTGAATGGTATTGTTTGATACAAATTAAAATTGACTTCTTTAACTTCTTATCTGCTTGCAGTCTGGTTGATGCAATGAAACAATGATATGGGGTGGATAATGGTGATGATGTGAGCTTCAGGGATGGGAGCTAGCAAATGGCAATACTTGATAATAGTGGATGGGGATTAAAATTCATTTTGTATTTGATGGGAGTTGATGTTCAAATTTTTTTTTTTCATTTTTTTTTTCTTTTTTATTTGGAGAGAATGACACTTGTTTCTCATTTTTTTCTAGAAATGTTATTGGAATAAAAAAATCTTAGTATCAAATTTATGTTGTGACCAAATTTTGTGTTTGTTACTGCCTCTTGAAGAGGTTGGGACTTTGAGACTGTTAGGATTTTGTCCTCAATACCAGAAAAAGTGAGATGATGTATGTTTTTGTACACTACATTGCTTCCTCTTCTTAACTTCCTTGCATTTTTCATACTTCTCCTCCCAACACACCTCCTAGGCCCCAAAATTATTTTCAATGAACCAAACATTATGTTTTGTAATTTTTTATTTTAAAAACTGTTGGCAGATGCCATTGGAGTTGTCATGTTTCTATCTATTGGGTTTGCAAAAAAAATTTATGCTGTGTTGTTGGTTGGTTTGGAAGCTGTAGCTATAAAATCCATAGATGTGAAAAATCAGTGAGAAAAACTACTTCATTGAAAAATATGCCAATCAATTGTATGAAACACTTTGTATATAATAAGAATTATGTGAAATAAGACTTCCAATGTACATTTATAAATCTATTCCCTTCAAAGTCACAATTTTGGACGGTAAATAAATCTTGAAATCCCTTTACTCAAATCCCTTCAGTTGCACCTTTTCCAGTTTAGTCTTTCTAACATCATGAAATTATTGATAATGATGTTCCTGTCTTGCAATCTTTCATCCTAAGCAGCAGTGGTGGGAAAGCATGCCACCTAAATGTAAGAGCATTTTATGAAACAATTAGTTCATTAACTAAACACAAAATTGAAACAAATATCTAATTTTGTTTATTCTATCATACATATATAAGAGAGATACTTCCAATATTTTAGACCATTCTAACCAGAAACAGATAACTCCAGAATAACGTGTTCACCTTGCTTGCTTCCACTTTTCAAAAAATATTTTTCAGAAAATTATACTTACTTATTGTAGACACCCTATTTTTGACCGACCTTTAGACTTGGGCGCTATTGATGGTTTACTTGGTAGTGAAAGATGTGCAGAGCAAAAGTTCAATTTCTTTGGCAAGAGGAGAGTCAAATCTAAATCTCACACCCCATTTTGGACCAAAGATATTTTCAATGGTTTTTAGACCTTAAAATCCTCTCTTTCAAAATATTTTGGAAATAACGTTTCTAGGATGTTCTGAGGCTCGCATTTTGTTAAATGTTGCGCTTTTCGGTAAACCAAGCAAGGGCAAAGTGAAATGAGTGAAAGAGAGATGAAATCTTTGAAAAAATCTTTCAAAACACCTTGTTTAGGGGTTTGGAATTGAAGAAAAGAGGATAAGAGGGAAGAAACCTAGTTGAGGAAGTAGTTGGGCATGAATCGCTAAGAGAGAGTCGAGCGGTCCTTGATAAATCAAGCCTACCCATTTGTACACTTGAATTTAAGCTATGAGGTTACCACCGTTGGAAAGCATACTTCCAGGGCTTCATTTTTCACTTAAGAATCTTCTAAAGCTGTGTCCAGATGGGGGAGATATGATTGGTTGAAGTTGGGCATCATTCTGGTTGGACCGAAACTGAGCAGCCTTCACTAAAAGAGGAATATCTTATAACACACATGGAATTTTGACATGAGGCTTCCGAATTTGGAAAGAAGACTTCCGGAGCTACAGATTAGGCTTAAGAATGACCTGAAAAGGCATCTAGATGAAGGAGTTAGGCTTGCTCCAAGTCATGGACCAGGACTG